GAAGCTTTTTCTATTTGCAGTAACTTAGAAAATCTCTAAGATATATGATTGGATGAGAAAGATAATATATAATATATAATAAAAGTTTTGTAAACAAATAACTTTAAATCACGCACATATTTGCATTTATATGCATATTTGTGTGTATCCTTGTATATATGTATATTTGTTTGCCTAAGTATTTTGTAAAAGATAGGTACTTTATAAATACATGTGAGAAGAAAGGCCATCTTTTTGGGAGAGGGAGATTGGAGTAGGAAGGGGATCATTAGTCTTTTCTGTTAGGTCTTAAATGTTTATACATTTTCACCTTTGAGTTGGACAATTCAAATCAGCTCTCCGGGTCTGCGGCCCTGTCCCCCTCGCGACAGGCAAGGCCCCAAGCAGGAAAAGGGGCCAGGCTCACCCGCTTAGAGTCCAGTGTGCTAGGGACAGGGCGGCCAGAGAAACAGACCAGCTGCTCTGCGGTGCCAATGCACTGAAGCGTGAGCAGGGAGACTTGCGTCTCTGTTTCCCTAAACCTTGGAACGTGAGCTTGGGCACAGTGTGGCTTGGGGTTTGACCCATAAGTCTGTGCCTTGCAGGTCTCCCTCTATCAGCTCTCAAAGGGAGTATAGTTTCCACTTTCCAGGCAAAGAATGGAGATCCAAAGTCGGTTGGAAATTTGCTGAAGACCGCAGGGCTCACCAGGATGGGTCCACGTGGAGGACACAGCCGTGTCTTACCTAGGACCAGCCTGGCATGGAGGCCGGGAAGGAAGGGCCCGCTCTTCAAGTGCGCCCAGGAAAGCAGCAGCTCCTGCGGGAGCCTCATCAGCTGGTTGCTGGAGAGGTCCAGGAAGGTGAGGTTGCCCAGGAAGCGCGCGGCCTCGGGAGGCACTATGGCCAGGTGATTGGCCTGCAGGTCCAGCAGCCGCAGCTGGGGGGCGTCCCTGAGCGCAGCCCAGGGAAAGGCTGCCAGGCGGTTCCCGGGCAGCCGCAGCTCGCGCAGTCGCCGGAGGCCGCGCAGCATGAGCGCGCTGAGCTCGCCGAGCGCGTTATAGGGAAGCCAGAGCTGCTCCAGGCGGCCCAAAGCCCGAAAGGCCTCGCCTGGCACCCTGCGCATGGCGGTGCGCTCCAGGCGAAGCCGGCAAGTGTCCGTGGGGAGGGATGCAGGTGGCAAGGTCATGTCGGGGTCGCTGCACACCACAGTCCTGCATGGACACAGAAATACGGGGGACCCCTCATCCCAGGTCCTGCAAGCTGGGGGTCGCCATCCCCTTCCCCCGCCTCCCTTATGGGGCCTGAGGATTGGCCTCTCCAGAGACCCAATATCTGCACCTAGGGGCGGTGGACTCTGAAGAGGCCCAGGCCTGTGGCCTACTGGTTCCCCTGGGAAGTTGCTTTTGGAGACCAGCCTTTCTCTAGGAGGGTCCCTTAGGGTCTTCTCTAGCCCAGAAGACTTGGAAAACCTAGCCAAGTCCGGTTATAGTCCGTAGTGCCCACAACCCTGAGAGCAAAGAGTCACAGCCCCATGTGAACAGCACCCCTCAATCTGTGTGACCGTCTCGGTTTTTCTTCATTTCTTATAGTTTCTTTTTTTAATTAGTAAATGTTTTTGATACATAATTACATTCATTTTGTAATATGAACATAATACTTTTTACTCCCCCCCCCCGTTTGCTTCAATTTTAAAATATATCTATCAGTAGCACAAAACGTCAGCAGTGCTATAGGTCTCTCCTGACCCCAGGAGCCAGGAAAGGGTCACAGTGTCCAAGGGCTGGCCTGTGGCCACACTATAGAGAGGGGTCACAGTTGGGCTCTACACATGGCTATGTGTCCTGACATCTCTTGTTCCCTGAGTTTCCTTGTGACAATGGATGCCACCTCGTAGGCCAGGTAGGGGCAGGTGAGCTCACGCACAAGCTCGGCCCACTCCCCAGGGCCAGTCCCTGCCCAGCACTACAGATCTGTTCCTCATCTCAGTGCTGGGTAGATGAGGGCCACAACACCAGGTCCTTTGGCCCCTCCTGCCAATGGCCTTGCGCACCTGAGTCTGTCATGTGTGGTCTAAAGCTGAGGACAGAGGCACCAGGAGCCAGTCCTGTCCCCAGGAGCGTAGAATCCAGGGCAGTGTTCTGCACCAGCAGGGCAGCTGCACATTCACATGGGGTAAGACGACAAGAACCATTCCCCAAAGATGGGGATCCTGCAGCCGGTGTCAGGGCCCCGACCTCAGGCAGGGTCGACTCATCTGCAAGGCTTCTCTGCCCAGCTGGGGGTGGGTGTCACACATGCTTTGTTAAAAGAGGTCATTTCCCATGATATCTTGTATGTTGTCAGATCAGGGCACCCCGACAGTAAGCCTTGCAAGCTAGCAGCTACCAGCTGAATGGGTGTGCTCACATATGCGCGCGCACACACACACATGTGGCTCAGCGTGCTGGGCTGGGCTTGTTCCTTCTCTTTAAGGGAGCCTCAAAAGATTCCCATGCACTCATGTTCATCAGATAAAGAATAGGCTCCTACCAAGTGGCGGGCCATTCAGGAGAGAATAAAAGCCTCGGCCCGGGCCCATGACAGCTTGTCGTATACCTCAGGTGGGAAGCCCTGAGGGAAGCAGTCTTTTCAGGGGATGAGAATGCAGGTTGGGTGTCTGCAGCTGAGAAGTCTGGGCACACAGAGGGAGGAAGCCAGCAGGAAAACACTTTGTGGGCTGCAGAGAAAGTGGTCAAAGTGGAAAGAACCCAACTTAAGCCAGAGCATAGCTCCTGATGGGGCAAACGGGGCACAAAATGCACTGGGAACACATCTGTTCCTCTGCCAGGCCTGAGTTCTTGCAGCGAGCTGGTTGTCCCTGGGGACATACTTGGTGGGGACAGGGCAGGCAGCCAGGATAGGGCCTGAGAGAGAGGAAAGCTTGTATGAGAGCTGAGTGTGAGGAGGCCTTTGAGGTGTGAAGGAAGGCAGTCTGTGCCCCTGGGCCTTGGGACATCCCGGCCCCCGGCAGCCCAGCCTGGCCTCATTCCCCATGTGGGATGCTCCATGAGGATGGGATGGTGCATATCTACCTGGGGACTGTCCAGTGGATGGAACCACTGTAGGAGCTCTGCCTCGGGGAGGGGATAGCCACCAGCTGACATTAGGGTCCCCAACACTACCCTTGGAATTTCAGTTTCATCCGAAAGATAACTGCTGCCAGCAGCCCCCAGTGGCAAGAGTTTTAGGAACAGTCACAATTCCGTAATTCCCGGACCACTTCCATCATGGATTCTGTGATGCTGTGTGACGTGGAGGCCAGTGCTCTCTGTGGTTGTGAGAGGAGCCCCCTGTAGCACTGACCGCAGCCTGTACACCCTTCACGAGAGGACCATTGCCCTCCACACGAGTTAGAGCATCAGACACTCGCTTCACCAGGACCGCGGATCGTACTGTATGAGGTTTCCTGTCTTTCAGATTGCTCCCTATTTGCCCCCTCCCCTCCTTGCTAGTCAGTCCAACACCCATTGCCAGGATCATTGAAGAGGTGGCTCTGGGTGCATTATTGCCTGATGACAAACCATCAGTAGCTCCCCCATACCAGTCTAGGCAGGAATAAAGGGTAGGAAGATGATAGGCGAGACCATGGGCCAGAGCCTGAGCAGGAAAGGCAGAGATCACTAGCTGAGGAAGTTGAGGGAAAGTGCTTTGCAGGTAGTTGAAGAGAGCAAGAGAATGAATTGTAGTAGAAGAGCAGGGGTTTGCAAAGCACCGTGGCCTGAGGAAGTTTCTAAGGAGGGGAAGGGGCTTTATAGGGTGGTAGGGTGGGTGTGGAACATCTAGGAGGAGCCTGAGGGTGAGGGAGCATGGTTGGATGGAATGGGCACTCCTGGGGCTGCCAGTGAAGACCCACAGGGGAGGAGCAGGATGAGGCAGGTGGCCACATCATGCGTGGGCGGCAGGAGGTCCTGTGGGGGACTGGGAGGCAGGGAGGCAGCAGGGAGAAAGAGCAGTGTGAGTGGAAGGGGCAGGAAGACCCAGGGAGGGTGATGAAATGGAAGGAGGAAAGAGGGGAGAGGGAAGAGGCACGCAGAAGACTTCCTAGACACTGAAACAGGACCCCTCTCCACCAGGAGCCTCACAGGAGGCACAGGAAGGACTTCCAGAAACACCTGTGAGCCCCCACATAGGTAAAGGACCCAGAATCTCCTGGCCAGGGCAGTCTTCTTGGTTTCCAGGGCCTGGGAAACAGAGCTCTCACCCAGCCTTGGGCTAAGGAGCCTGCTTCCCCTGGGGCCCCCTGCCCCCTCCCAAGTCAGCCTACCACCCTGCACTCCACACTGTGGAGAGGGGCCATACCTGGACTTGCTGCCATCACCCAGGATGTGGAGGCTGCAGCTGCACTGAGTGGGGCAGGAACCCCAGGCCTGGGGCAGCTCCCCAAGAGCCAGGAGCCAGAGCATGCCCACAGCCACCCACATGACTGCCGGCTCCTCGCTGGCCGGGCAGGGGCCTGCCCCGGACTGCTCCTTCCCACTGGCCCAGGAAACCCAGTTGCTGCCCCCCCCCCCCACACACACACCAGGGGCCATCAGATAAACAGGGGACAGACTGAGGATTAGGGAGGGGAGCCCCAGCTGTAGCTTTCAGCAGCTTAGCGCTTCCTGGATGGCCGGGGCCTGAGGGCGGGGTAGAAACCCCATCGTCTGGAGCTCCCTAGGGTGTCCAGGCAGGGAAAGAAGAAGACTGAACTCCGGCCTCAAGAAAGGACTTGGAGAATCACATCTCTTGCAAGTAGAAAATGCCGTTTTGAGGTTCGCACAGGGCCTGTTTGGGAGGAGCTGCTACTGTTGCAGGCAGTCCTCAGAGATATACTCCTGGGGTCACGAAGAACAGCTGTTCAAACTACTGCCTCCTTGGCATGCCTTGTGGACACCCCGTCCCCACACATGGTATCTGTAAGAGGCTCTGCCAGGCTGGGGTGTCTCCCATGGCACAGGACCACCCCTCCACCCATCTCCAAGGAGGAGCCAGTCCCGCAGCTCTAGAGGAGGGACTCAGAGAACAGTTTTCTTTCTTTCTTTCTTTCTTTCTTTCTTTCTTTCTTTCTTTCTTTTTTTCTTTCTTTCTTTCTTTTTTTCTTTTCTTTTCTTTTCTTTCTCTCTCTCTCTCTCTCTCTCTCTCTCTCTCTCTCTCTCTCTCTCTCTCTTCTTTTGCAGTTCTGGGGATTGAACTCAGGACCCTGCGTTTAAGGCAAGCACTTCTTCTACTGAGTCATCATCTTCTTGGCCTCCAGAGAACAGTTTTCGCCTGTCCCCCCTCTCCCTAACCCTATCCTACAAAATCTACTCAAGGTGCCCACGCAGACTGAGGCCAATCCCAAGCAGAAGACTCAACCATGTCTTCATGTTCCACTTCAAGGCTTTGGGGCCTGCTCCACCTTGCCCAGCCTGGGTCCCTCAGCTTTTCAGGAGGTTCCCACCCTTGGTGTCCATGGCCCCCGACAGGGAATACCCCAGACACACACAACAACCCTCTGGTGTCACATTGTTTTTTTAATTTTAATTTTATTGAGAAACAAATATGAATGAGACAGACTCAAAGCTGATTAATAGGACAGTTTCAATAATCAATATATTGTACACTGTTATCTTTTTAGTGGTTATCCATCGTACAAGAAGCAGACAGGATATCCTGTCCAAACACTATTAGTACACCTTTTTCTTCTCATTGAATTAAGCGAAAGTAGCTGTATATCTATCCTAAACATTGTTTTGATAGGAGACACTAGTCCTCCCTTTTCCTGAAAATCCAGCCCGGACATTCTCCTTTATACCCATACCCCTCACCACACTAAAAGACCAGCCCTGCAAAATGGTTTTCATTTTGCTGCCTTTTAATTTTTTTCTAGTATATGGAACAAATTCAGAGCCTTTGCACTAAGCTACATTCCCACCACCACTATTTTTTTTTTTTTACTTTAAACAGTATCTCACTGAACATCATGGTTGACTCCCAGCTGCAATCCTCCTGCCTCAGCCTCCTAAAGATGCTGGGATTACATGTGTGTACCACCTGGTTCAGGCCATTTCTTCCATCTGTCAGTGGGCTGGAGAAGGGCTCTAAGTGCAGGGCTCCCAGCCGTCATCTACAAGGAAGGGCAGCCCCACGTGGCTGGGGCCTGCTACCGTGCTACTGGCTGGTGAAGCCACACTCCTCCAGTGTTTTGCCTTCATCTAGAAGCTGGTCGTCCTTGTACAGCCTCCGCTCACCTGATGGCCGCTGGAGGATGCCCTGGACCACACGCTTCAGTGCCAACTCCGTGCTTGACTGCTTGGTGTCTGTGAAGATCGTGGTCTTGCAGCACCGGATCAGGAGGAACAGATCCATCTCAGTGGCTGCCTCTTGCTCAACTGAGAAGAGACGAAATTAGGAGAGATGATGCTTCTTACTTTGACAGCGAGGGTAATGGCAGTCTGGAGCTGCGAATGTTGATGCTTTTTTTTTCCTTCTTGTGTGAATCTTTTGCAATCTTATAGGCGTGGAAAAAGCTTAGTGGTGTTATGAGCTGGCAGGAAAGGGCAGGAATTCTGGAGGAGGTGACCCTAGGCCGAGTGTGTGTGCTGACGCTGATGAGGTTTAGCTCTACCTGGTGACTCACAGGAGTAACTGCCTTGGCAAGGGACATTCTCAAGAAAGAATGTGTCATGTGACTGGGCCCAGGGCCTGAGCCTGAGGTGTGCTTTTGTTTCCACTCAGTCCCCGGATGGCTGGGGGACTGCAGGCTGACTCGTACATCTTTAGATTTACTTTCCTCTGCTAAGACCACAGGATAATGGCATCAACCCCACGGAGTTGCTCCAGCAATCTCAGAAGTCCCATAGCACAAGGCAGGACCTCAGTCAGCTGTCGGCTGAGAGACTTCAGGGCTCCATTTCTCCATCTCACTTGAGTGAAGGTGTTCTGGACCACTTGCCAAGGGAGCCACCATGACCTCACACGCAGAGGCTGAGGGCATGGGGCCACTCATAGGTTAAAACCATCCCAGGCCGGTTGGTTGGTTTTGTACTGGGAACTGACCCCAGAGCCTTCACATTGAGATTCACCTCCAGCCCCTTCTATTTTTATTTGGAGACACAATCTTGCTAAGCAATAGTTAACTATGTTTGTCAGGCTGGTCTACAAATTTCAATCCTCAGCCTCAGCCTCCTCGAGTGCTGGGATCACAGGCATGCCCCACCACACCAGCTTCTGGGGAGAAATTTTTACCCTCAAAGGCTGTATAGGAGACAGGAAGCACAGGTGACTTTCCAAATGTCATCTTTTCCCCAGCCTTGCCAGCGCTCACATGTGATTCCATGAACTCTGTGGACACACACATGCACACACACACACATACACATACATACACACACCACGCCACACCAGCTTCCCAGCAGCTGTGGACCCAAATGGCCTGGCTCCCACCCAGCTCTGCAGGGCAGCTGTAGCTCACACCCTGCCACCCTGGTGGTTACACAACTCTTCCAACCCCACACTCTGTGGCCCTGTGCAGCCCTGACCTTAATCCTTCCCCACCAGGCAGCCACAGATGAGCCAGGGACCCTTCCAGCCTCACAAAGACTGCACTGTGTAACCGGTGAATGGGTCCCTTCTGTGTGGGCCAAGAGGGTAACACAGAGGGGAGGAAGGGAGAGGAAACGGGATCTGGCATGATAATCTCCATGTGCCTGCTCCTGTGATTGCCCTTTAAAAAAGAGAGGCCAGGCTCAGGGAGCTTACAGAGATCTGGGGCGCTGGCAGTGAGGGAGGCTGAGGATGGCTGCCGCCTTGGGGGCCCTGCCTGCCGGCTTTGGGGAGTTCGAGGTGCTGGCCGTGGGGACAGTGCTGCTGGTGGAAGGTGAGCCAGGCCTGGCCTGGGCTGGGACAGAACCCAGCCGCAGCCAAGTGGCATGTCCCTGGGCTGCGGCTCCGTGGGCCTGGACCCAGGGGCTGTCTCAGGGCTGCTTGCATGGGCGCAGCATGCAGGAGAGGATCCCGAGGATGGAGGCCTAGGCTGAGGTCGGGAGGCGTGGGAGAGATGCCCTATGCTCAGGCTTCCAACCTCCAGTCAGGGGGAGCCCGGCGGCTACCCGCGAGGCAAGTCCCCAGGTGGAGACGCTAGAGGGCAGCGCTGAGCTGCAGCCTGCTTTCTGGTGCCAGTACCCGCTCTGCCTTTCAGCGCTCTGTGGTCTCAGCCTCAATGGCCTGACCGTCGCCTCTTTCTGGAAGACCCCGGAGCTGCGCACCCCCAGCCACCTGCTCGTGTTGAGCCTGGCCCTGGCGGATGGCGGGCTCAGCCTCAATGCCCTCATCGCGGCTGTGTCCATCCTCCTCCGGTACCACCCCCTCCCCAGCCCTGGGCAGCCCAGCCTGGGCCTTTCTTCCCAACAGATAGAAAACAGTCCCCAGGGCAGAAGCAGGCAGGCTGCCCAGGCTGAGCTGGAACTCCGGATTATCCCTGGACAGTCTGTGGACCCAGGGATGGCTCAAATCTGACCAGAGAGAAGGCCAGGGGACAGGGATTAAGAGCCCAAGCCCAGTGACAAGTGGCCTGGGCTTGATGCTAGGCTGTGAGTTGTGGCACCTGCTTGGCTCCTGTGGGTAGTTGGAAGTAGTGACTTTAATTCTTTGCGATGACTCAAGGCAACGCTTGCCACTGATAGGTAAAAGCAAATAGGGTTTTGGCTGGCCTTTAATACTACTGTGCGTCAGGTTTTCCCACATTTCTTCCCAGATCTGTTCCTAAGACTCATGTTTCTTTTGTTTGTTTGCAGTCCTAGTGATTGAACCTAGGGCCTCTCCACCAACTCATAACTCCAGCCTCTTTTTATTCTTTTATTTGAGACAAGATCTCCCTAAGTCATTAAGTTGTCCAGGCTGGGCTTGATCTTGTGATCCTCCTGCCTCAGCCTCCATAGTGCTAGGATGACAGCCACGCACACCTGCCTGGCTAAGACTTTTTTTTTTTTTTTTTAAGTAAACTGAACATTTCCCTTGTGCTGTGCAGCACCACAGTGAAGCTGCACCCACCACGTGAGGTCGCTCTGCCTGACCAATCCTGGGGTTTGAACCTTTGAGAACCCCTCCTCCTACGAGAGGCTGTGGAGAAGGGACGTTCTATCTGCGTTCATCCACTGTGCAGCTGTGGCTCAGTACCCATTCCCCTCTGAACCTGTTTCCCCACCTGTAAAATAAAGGTGCGCCACCAGGTACAGTGGGCCATTCCTGTCATCCCAGATCTCTGAGAGGCTGAGGCAGGAGGATCTCAAGTTGGGACCCAGCCTAGAAATTTAGCCTCTTAGCAAGACTGTCTCAAAATTTTAAAACAATTTTGCACAGCTGGGAATGTAGCTTGGTGGGAAGTCCCTGGGTTCCATCCATGGTACCACACACACAAAAGAAAATTTTAAATAAGTAAAATGCAATGTAAGCATGAATTCTCCTGATGATGTAGACAGACCCTTGATTGGGCATGACATGGGGGCATCACTTGCCCCTGGTGACTTAGCTCTATGGCCTCACAGGAGGCCTTCAGGGGAAACGGAGATACTAAGAGTCCTTCTCCACAGGCACTGGCCACCCAGCTCCAGACGCTGCCAGACTCTCGGCTTCCAGGGTTTTACGACCGCACTGGCCAGCATCAGCGGCACTGCAGCCCTTGCCTGGGGTCGCCACCAGCATTACTGCACACGTAGGTGGGGGCCGGCAGCAGGCAGGAAGGAGGTGGAGGGGAGGGAGGCAGGCAGGGCAGCCCCAAGCCTTGTTTTCTCTGCAAACCTTCAACAACCACATTCATAGTTTTAGTCTGAGAATCAATGAGATTGTAGATGAAGAAGATGCGCTTGTAGATGGGCACTGTTGGGGGCACAGAGCGATGGAGTGTGTGTTTGTGCACACATGGGCATGCAGCTGGTGTAGCCCCGGGACCCACCCTTCCCACAGTCTCCAGGATGGCAATGCTGCGTGCAGCCCACCCAAGTGCAGCTACCCCAAACGGCATTGTCAACTGCCATCATTGCCATTGGCCTAAGCGTGTTCCATCTGTCCCTTTTTTCCCTTGGTATTTCGTCTAATAAGTGACTCTTTTATAAAAATTTTAAAAACTTCCTATAGTTTCCACTATAGGAAGGCTTAAGGTCCTTATAATTTTAATACCCATTACAGTTTTATAAATGCTTTCACCGGGCATGGTGGTGCTCACCTGTAATCCCAGCACTTTGTGAGGCCAAGGCAGAAGGATCACAAGTTTGAGCCCCTCCCAAGCAACTTAGCCACTTAGCAAGATCCTGGCTCAACCTTTTAAAATATTAAAAGAGCTGAAGACAGCTCGGTGCAAAGATCCTCACTTCAGTCCCCAGTACCACAAAGAAACAAAAACCTAAACCTACCCTACCCTCCCCATCTCCTGCCCTGTGCCCCAATGGCCTCACAGGTCCCCTGGCTGGACCCTAAGAAACAGAGGCAGAGAGAAGGTGACCAGTTCATCTAGTGGAGAGTAGGGGCCGGGCTAGGACTGAGGGTGGCATTTTGCCTCCAGAGCCTGCTGCTGCCCAAGGGCAAAGTGACCACCCTGCAGGACCCTCCCAGCTCCACCTGCTCCAGCCCCATGGTGCCTTTTTCTTATGGTTTTGATCATCATTGGGACACTCCTCTCCTCTCCATGTGGCCTTGGCACACCTTTCCCAGCATGTCTACACTTGGACCATTGCATATTCAGGAATGCCTAGTGTGCATCACACACATGCATGCCTATACTCATGAACACACACATGCATCACACACTAATGCACATACTCATGCATGCACACACACATGCATTGCACACTCATGCACACACTCCTACATGCACACATCACCTTCTCAGTAGCCAGAGGCTTCTCCAGAGCCGAGCAGAGCAGTTAACCTCACTCTAGGGCCCCAGACCAAAGCCTCCCTGCTCTGAATTGGGCAACAAACAGGGCAAAGGCAGGTGATGGAGAGAAGAGCCTGAAGTCACCTGCTCCATTACCACTGGCCCTGGGCATGTGACCATGGTCAAGATTTCTGATTCAGGACAGACTGCCCATGGTCAAAGAGGACATTCACCATCGTGTCCAGAGCTGAGGCAGAGGGCGCCTTCATCAGCCTGGGGGACTCTAACAAAGCATTGGAGTGCAGGTGGTGTAAAAGGCAGATATCTTTCTTCCGCTTCCAGATTCTGGGAAAACAAGATCATGGCCCAGCACGGTCAGATTCTGGGGTGCAGACGGTTACCTTCTGACTGCGTTCTCCCACAGAGGAGTGAGCTGTCTCTCTCTCACGTCCCTTCTTACAAGTGCACTAATCTCATTGAGGAGACTCTGTCTATGCAGAACTCAGATTGAAGATGTGGGGCTGGGGTGGGGGGTGAAAGGGCTGGGGATGCCAGGTCTGAGGAAGCATGGCAAGGGAAGGCTGGATGAGGCTGCAGGACAGAAGGGACTTCGGAGAGGGGACAGGAGGACCCTCAGGCCATACCCAAGACACTGCTGGAACCTGCCTCTGCCCACGGCGCTGAGATCCTGGGCCAATGTCTCAGGGTGTTGGGAGCAGGAGCTGAGGATGTGGTGAGTCTGGGCCTGCGCCTCCTCTTCCTCCTCCATCGCCTCTACCTCAGTCATTGCTCCTTCTCTCTGTTCTCTGAAGGAGACGGGACAGACTCTGCTGGGAGACTCTCTCCTTCCCGATTGCTTTTGTCCTTGTGGCTTCCTCTGCAGTGGGGATGATCATTCTTCGTGTGGGGCCTCTGAGACTCAGAGAAACCCCTAACTTGCCTGGGCCACCAAGAATCAGAGCTGGGCTTAGGGCTCCTCTGTGAGTCCACAAAGCCCACTGTTTCCACTTTATCAACTGATACCCCTGCTTACAGCCCGTCCTCCTCTGCCCTGTGCAGGCAGCCAGCTGACATGGAGCACAGCCGTCCCCCTGGTGTTCTTCGTGTGGTTGTCTTCCATCTTCTGGGCAGCGCTGCCCCTCCTGGGCTGGGGCCATTATGACTATGAGCCCCTGGGGACCTGCTGTACCTTGGACTACTCCAAGGGGGACAGGTGAGGTGGAGGGACAGTTTTGAGAAACCCTTCCATGAAGATTGTAGCTTTGAGTCCCTGGGATAAGGATCACCCTGCAGGAAACCCAAAGGTGGACCTCTGCCAGACGCTCCCAGCCCCTCAGTCACAGTGTCACCTTGCATGCTGGCATGCGCCTGGGGAAAGCCCAAGGGACATGACTGCTACTTGGATGGGCCCCCTGGGCTGAGCCCAAGAAGGTTGCAAGATACGGTGAGCCACTGGCTGGGGCAAGCTGCAACAGTCACTGCCCCCGCCCAGGCATCTCCAGTACAGTGAGTGCCAGCTTCATTGGTTTCCAGAGGGATCTAGGCCATTAGTTCAGCAGATTCAAACAGTGTCATCATTTTATCAAGGCTGGGTACCTCTGCAGCATGGAGATCAGGGTCGGGACTCTCCCGGCACCTACTGTGAGCCAATGCGTGAACGCACTGCGGTCCCCAGTATCAAGGAGGCTGAGTTCTCTTGCTGCCCCATCCATGTTGCTCCAGGGAGGAGAGGGGCTGGCAAACTCTTTAGGTGTCACCCTGGGAAAGGTCACATGGACTCCAGTCCCCTCTTGTCTCCACCAGAGCCACACTGCAGTCTTCTGTCACTTGGCATTGGCTCATGTAGCCCCTACCACCAGTGACAGGCTTCCCAGGTAAAGCCACCTGGAGAACCTGTCTCATCTGAGTGTCCCTTGACAGCACAGCCAGGTTGGGGCCCAGGGCTTCTGGAAGTCCTTCCTTCTGCCCTTCTTGGTGGACAGCTCGACGGTGCACCTGGACAGTCTTCCCGTCATGCATGGCACTCCCACTTCCCTGGCCAGCCCTCCTGCCCTCCATTAATCCCCAGCACTTCTGTGGTCCCTTAAGTGATGTCCTCAGTAACACAGGGTCCAGTGTCTTCCTGTCATCACAAGCTCCTTACAAATCCCTGCACCAAGCCCCCCCTTGGGTTTTCCTTGCTCTTGGTCCACTGGTGCCTTCGTCATCTCCTGGACACATTTCCCAAGTGAGAGTGTCCCATTTCTCAGGCTCAGGGAACAAGCAGCAGAGCAGGACTGAACACTTGAACAGCAGGGAGGCTGCTTGCTGCCTCAGCCCAGGATCCTGACAGCGAGTACCAGGAGCTCCCATAGTGCCTGGCTGCAGGGCACAGTTCAGCTAGGACCAGGAGTGGCCACACTCATGAGTGTCCGGTGCAGAGGCCGGGAGCCCGGGCGGCAGCTGGCCATCCCGGAGGGCTGACCCCTGCTGCTCTGCCCCCACCTGCAGGAACTTCACCAGTTTCCTCTTCACCATGGCCTTCTTCAACTTCCTGGTCCCCCTCTTCATCACGCTCACTTCCTCCCAGCTCACAGAGCAGCGCTTGGCAAGGAGCAGCCACCTCCAGGTAAGGCGCTGGCTCCAGGAGCAGCATGAGCCTCTCAGAACACCACAGTGATGGGCAGCTACCCAGGGCTTCTGGATCTGCGACATCAGTTCTGCCTGTGCAGAGCCTGCCAGCTTGAGCGGGTGGCCATAGCCTGGGCAACAGGACCAGGGTGGCCCAGACTGCCCCATCCTGGGAACCCCAAGAGGCTCCTCAAAGGGTTCAGTCCATGCTCTTACTTTTTTGTTCTCTAGTCTTTGAGGCTTGGGACAAAAAAACAAAAAACAAAAAACAAAACAAAACAAAAACAAAAACCTGGGCCCTTTAAATGTGACTTTTAAATTGCTCCAAGATGTTTGCTTTAATCGCAGTCACAGGCTTTTACCCACGAAAGAAAATTGCACCCACCAGCACATTTGTCCAAGGAAAAAGATGTCTCAGAATAAGCCCCCTGACCATTTCAAATTTCTGCATCAATATGCCCTTCATACAATTTTCTTTTCACTCTGTTACTTGGACAACTTAGCAAATGAGTCCTAACAAACAACAAGGATTTATTTTATTTTATTTTTATTATTACTTGTTTGAGATAGGGTCTTGCTCCGTAGTTCAGACTGGCCTGCATTCATGGTGATGCTCCTAGTTCAGCCTCCAAAGCACTGGGATTATAGGTGTGCACCACCATGCCTGTCTGCAAAGATTTATTTCTAAAAAAAAAAAAACCCAGATGCTAATATTACATTATGTGCATTGTTATTTCATCCTTGTGACCGTTCTCAGAGCAAGGGAAGTTTTTCCATCCCTGTGTCACAGACAGGACTGAGGTACCAGTGGCTCAGCTAAGTGAGCAGCAAGGGCCACACTTAGCAACATGGGTCCAAACCCAGGCCAGGGTCTCCACAACCAACCCAAGTGCTCAACTGTGGTACAGACAGGGTGCACTCCTTTCATTAAGACCCAACCCACTAGGCTGGGCATGGTGGCACGTGCCTGTAATCCTAGGGCTTGGGAGGCTGAGAGCAGGAGAATCACTATGAGTCTGATCCGTGTAGTGAGACCCTGTAGATCCTGCACTAAATACAAAAAAAAAAAGACCCAACCCACTGCTTCATTGTGTTTTTCTCATCAAGTGGGATGCATTCTGCAAATGTGTGTATGTTAGCTGGTGACCCTTATTCCTCTGAGGTCACAGAGGGAAGCTGAGGGTCCCTTTTCCTGGATCCCCACTTGAGAAGGCTCTACCTTCCAGGTTGTTCCCACGCTGTTCACCCCATCCCCTGTCCAGCTCCAAAGTCAGCATATTTATTGGAGCTTCAATCAACCAGGACACAGAGCTGGGACCACGACACCCCATTTTTTCCTGCTGACTTTAAGCCACAGCTCTGGCGTTAGTGCACCTCACCAACCATGGCCCCAGGACTGTGTTCAAGCTGAATGACTTCCGGTGATGACATGGTCTCCCATAGAGACCCAGTTTATCCCCACTTTATCTCCAGCAATGCAAAGCACTGTTTTTAAAAAAAATCAGAATGAAAGACAATTTACAGAAAAAATGTATTTCAATCAACATATTTTTAAAAATCCAACATTGAAGAGAAAAATGCCCTCTTTCAATTTAAATCACCTTCTTTGTGCAAGAGAGACATGTCAATGGGAAAAGGGGCAGTAGTATTTTGGTTCAGCATTTTAGTATTCCAGTGGGAGAACAGGAACATGGCTACTCTGTTCTGGAATTGGAGCTCAAGTCGTTCGCCCCTTCCTGGTCACAGGTGGTACTTTAGCATCACTCTCTCCTGGGTGTCTTAGGTGCTTCTCTTGGGTGAAATCCTAGACCTTCACAGGTGATATCACCAGGTACCTGAAGCCACAGGTGGCTTTGGGCCTCAAATATCAGGGCAACACAGCCTGGGACCTTTGTGCACATAGTCACAGAGCCCAGGATTCCGCTGAAGGAACAAAGCCCTGAAAGGAGGCTTCTTGTCATCTTGCCCGACTCCTGTGCCATTGTCCATACAAACCAGGTATCACCAGGTCATTTTACAAATGAGGCAACTGAGGCCTGGAGTCATATGAGTTAATCCTCAGCGAGGCTGGTCGAGTCCCCAGTTCCCATGCAGCTTGGAGGTGCTGAGTGCCGGCCTGGCCTCCCTGCCTGAGTGGAGAAGGCTTGGTCAGCCAGAGCAATGCCACCTGCAGCAGGCATGTGCTCTCTCCCCAGGTGAGCAGCATTCGGCCAGCCAGGACGCTGATGCTCGGCTGGGGCCCCTATGCCCTCCTGTACCTCTATGCAGCCATCGCCGATGCAAGCTCTCTCTCCCCCAGACTGCAGATGGTATGGCTTTGGCCACGGCCAGAACCCTGTCCAGCTCTGTCTCTCTGGGTCACTCCATCTCTCCTGCTGGCTCCTTTTTCCTTTCTTCCTTTGAATATTCAGACTGCACAGAGAGTTTGTCTGCCTCCTCTCACGTTCTGGGCTACCCCGGGTAGAGATGATGGGGAAAGACAGCCAGAGGGTGGACAAGACGCACATTCTGTGAGCAGGCAGGGGTGTGCATGTCTGGATGGGAATGTGGTCCTGGGCACAGTCACCAGAGACTCAGGGACAACCCAGGGGCTGCAGAAAGGAGAGATGGTTGTGGGCTGCAGCGAAAGAAGAACTGGAGCCATGAAGTGGGAGCAGGGACAGGAGCAGCAGCTTTGAAACATCATTCCCAGACTTTTCTGCCCAACAGATACCTGCTCTTATTGCCAAGACAGTGCCTACAATCAATGCCATCAACTATGCCCTGGACAGAAAGATGGGCAGCAGGGGATCCTGGCAGTGCCTCTCGCTCCAGAGGAGCAAGCGGAACTGAGCCCAGTGAGCCCCCAGACCTGCTCGTCCCCCATGGAGCCACAGCAACAGGAGGCCTCGTAGCCTGGAAGTGAAGTCCCTGAGCTCAGCTCCCAGTCCCAGTTGAGCCTGGCCCCAGGCTGGGCACAGAGGTTCAGACACACGTGCAGCTCATGGAGGGAGGCTCAGGGATGCTGGACAGCCATGCTCCACCCCAAGCTGCCTGAATCCTAAAGATATTAACATGGACTTCCAGACTGGAACTAGAGAACATGTTCACACCAAGCACATAGGAAATGCTCCTGGAAACCAAGCTATCCATCTGGAGCCTGGGCCATGGCCTCCAGGGACCCGGAGTCTTACACAGAAATGAGGAAATGCCCTAGGGCTCTGAACACTGCTTATTAAATCATGATCTGGCACCAGGGACTTCAATTTCTGGCCCTACATCTGTGCCCTGGCCTGTGAGATACGGTGACAGCGTCATGTCTTGAAAGGATCAGAGCAGGACCTGCATGTCATATGCTCCCTGAGAGGCAGATGCCAGCAGCTGTCAATCACGCCTGCCCTCTGTTTGTGTGGGCTTGGCCTGTGTGTTGCTTAGAAATGTTTTGGGATTAGTTGCCAAGCTTTGAAAATCATAACAATTTATTTAAAACCAGATGTCAAAAGATGAGGCTCTGCCAGGCTGTCTTCCTTCATGACGACAATGTACAGAGCGCACAGTGGCTCTGTCCTTGTGTGTCCTCCATAGAGCCAGTGGGCGGGGGTGTTCTGGGTGGTGACATTAATGCAGGGACAGCCACCTCTGAATGCACACAGGCAGTACCTAGGGGACAAGGTGTGGCAGATGCAGAGTCCCAGTGAGACCCACTACCCAGAGGAAATGGGAAGGACAGTCAGAGTGATGAAGGGCCAGGCCCCATGAGATGTGAAGGAAGACAGACAGCTGAGAGCAGGAACAGGCACTTGGGGGGCTAGGTGGGCATGGATGAGTCTCTGAGACCTAGGACCTGCCCCTGGGTTTGCAGACACAGGAAATCAGGGAGCATGCGCTTAACTCCCAAGATGCCCCTGGGCACGCAGCATCCCTGTCTGCCCTGGAATGCAGGCAGGCAGGGCTCACACACGGGCTACACCGTGGCCAGGAAAGGACCTTGCTCTGCACTCACGGACAAACAGGCGAGCTGTCTCCAAAGGAAAGGACTGTTCCCTCCCTATAGGGGTGTGGTATGTCCAACTATTTTTTTTAAATCCAAATAAATACCCTTTATTAAAAAAAGGAATATTGTTAAGCACCAAAACTGTATATTATTACATTGCATGTACAATAAGAGAAAGGTGACTGCAATACTTGGTGGATAAATACTTAACTCTGAAGTCAGGTATAAAAAACATGAAATACAAAGCAATACAGTAATTACAATGCAGAAAATTTGCACTAATGACCAAAAGGCAACAGTCAAAACAATTATTGTAGATTTCATAGTACTGCTATAAATGATTGCTTAGTGCTTTCTTTGTACTTTCAATACTTTAGGATGTTAATTGAGCTTATTTCTTGTAAATCTACAGGAGGTGCATTAAGAGTCCACAGTGCACTTTCCATTAACGTCTTGGTGAGAAAGCCACCCGTATAGCCAAGCACAGCGTGCTAGTGTTTCTGCTTCTACCTTCTACAGTATTGCACAAGCTAGAAAATGGCGAGTCAGTTCACCAGCATAATTTTCATTTACCCAGAATGGATAGAAACATGTCAGTGTCATTAGCTCTAAGGGACTTTACTTATGCAAAATGATCTGTAGCCTCCACTTGGTATAAACTAAGCATTAGGCTCCATGCCTGGCAAAACACAGCACCATGAGAAACCCCCTGTGCTAAGGGCTTGTGTCAAAGCCCCAGAAGCCAGAAGTCACTGACTTGCACTGTCTGTGGTTCTTGGAAATGCCGCCTGGTGATTACGGAGACCTCTTAGAAATAATGAGTACTAGGGCAGTGTCCTACTATTAAGAAAGTACATTTATTCATATTCTCTCTTAAAGGCAAAGGAGAATTAACACTTCTACATACAGAAATAAATACATTCAGCAGTAAGGATGAGCCCTCATTTTTTTCCTTAATTTTTTATCTGCTTATTTATGTATTGGATACAGGGTCTCATTACGCAGTTCAGACTCGCAGTGGGCCTCCTGTCTCAGCTTCCCCAGCGCTGGGATTACAGTCATGTACTACTATGCACGGTTTCAGGCCGGCAAGGCATGCGATACCAGGGATTGAACCCGGGTCCTAGACCGCTGAGCTGTCTCCCCAACCCCGCCCTCATTTATTTTTGTGGCTGTGAAATTGATAGTGTTGCTGGTCTCTTCCTGTTGGAGACAGCGCGGGTCCATTTTGCATAAAAACAAGCTCACTGTACTTCCTACTCACTACAAGGGCATCCCTTCTTACGTTCCCTAAGTAGAGATCCTTAGGCTCCATCCTACCTTATCAGCTAAATTAAGAGAAAAGGAGATAGGCGCAAAGCAAAGAACTGGCCCTTGAGGGAGGTGCAGTGCGCAGGTGGCGCCAGCAGGTGGCGGTCCATCCTGGTGATGCTCCCGCTGCCGCGCGTTGTGGACTTCCCTGGACGAGCCCCGCGCTTTGGCACCGAAGCCTAAGGCCTCGCTGTTGCCTCCAGGAGTGATGCTGACTCCACCTCTGTTCTGCAGGAGTCCGAGGTGCAGGCCCCGAAGCCCGCTGACGGCTGCGCACCAGGCAAACAGCCGGGTGTGCAGTGGAGACGCCGGCCGCTCCTGATTCCTCCAGATGATTCCTGCGCAAAGAGCTGTGGTCCCCAGGGTGGTGCTGGAAGGTCCTGGGCAGGGCGGGGGCTGCGCTTTCCGAGACCGCTAGAGTTGGGGTCGGGTAAAAGCCCAAAACGGAAGTCCCGAGCCCTCGGGAGCGACAGCTTGCTAGCTGTCCCAGCTAGCCCCCCGCCAGTCCCCGCACAACCGCTGCCTCCGCGCGGCTCGCTCTGCAGCTGCTGCCTCCTCTGTGCGAGGCGGGAGCCGCGCGCAGCATTTGAGTTTTGCTGCCAGGACGACCTGGGCACACAGCCAGGATCTGCCTCCGTCGGACTGGGTAAGACAGTCTTGGTGGCCATACTGTACCTGGCTCCTTAGTGGGGGAAACAACAACCAAAACTTTGCTGAATCAGTTTAATAAAACTACTGCACCCTCAAGCTCTGGTCAAGTGTTCACATCCTCCACCACGAATCTCAGGGTCAGAACAGGCGCACGGAGCCCAGAGCAACGCTCACAAACACAAGGATGCGCAGAGTTGATGTGGGGGAACTGAAAGTCCCAGCCTGAGGGTACCTGGGGCCAGTTCGTGTTCTCAAAAACTGAAGAATGAATTTTAGGAACAAATGGAGGTTAAGAGCAGAATATTTATTGGGGGGAAAGATTCTGTTTGAGAGGGACAGAAGGAGGGCCCGAGCAAGTTGTCCCCTGGAAACTGTCTCTTCTAGGGACTTTTATAGAGTAAAACCATGTACTGAGGTGAGTCTAAGGTGGTGGAGAACATGGGCATGAGGTGGGACAAAACTGTTGTCAACCAGTGGGGTTACAAGCATCATTGCTCAGGTGAAATTGATTAAGTTCAGGATCAAATGGGGAAGCAAGTCACGTAGCAAGCGGGCATGAATATAGAACAGGAGTTCATCCAGTAGCCAGCCAGGAGCAGTTGGATTAGTGACTCTTCCTGGCTTCCTCAAGGTGATGATCAATCCTGGATGGTTATCTTTAGGGAGGTGAGCATTTGTTCAATCTTTGGTTTCCAGGTCTGGCCCACAGCAGGAGCGTCTGTCTCTCTCACAGTTGCAATGTATCTTGTCTTCCATATGTCTCCTTGAGGGCCTAGCCCTGTCTGGCTTCCTGTAGTATTTTTATCCAATTTAGCTGGCTACAACAGAGCCACCTGGAGGATCCTTCGCAAGGCCAACCCAGCTAGGCTCAGAAGATCCAGGCTGGCTCCTCCAGGGTTACCTAGAGGTGTGAGTGGGGCCGAGTTGGCCAAGGACAGGAGACGCAGGGGCTCTGGCCAGGCACTGGAGTGGACAGGGCGAGGGAGAAGGGCACATGAAAGACTTAGGAAATGACCAGAGCTTGTTCCCATTTTTAACTGATCCTAGGCTGTTGTGTGATTCTGCTGCACCGAATTGCCGGAAATGAGACAGGAAGGGCCAGCCCAGAGCTACTACCAGAGTCTCAAACTGGGTGGTGATGGTCACGGTGAAAAGTGAATGAGTTTATGATAAGGTTTCAGAAACACATACTGCATGACCAGCTAGTGGTTTGAATAATTTTATCAGTTTGGATGCTGTTTCTTTTCGATAACAGAAACCTCCCACACTGTTTTCTAGACGTAAATCCGATTTCCCAACACCCAGATGAATGGTGTGGTGGAGGTAGGCTGCAAGCAAAGATTGGTGGGACTTCAGGCTTGTGTTTCCAGTCTTTCAGTCCTACTCTTGCTCTCTCCCACTGCATTCTTGTTCATTTATCCTCAATGCTGAGTCCATGGATGAACACAAGCTAAGTGCTGGAGCCATGAAGTCAATGATGCCCAGTGTGACTGAAAGTCGGCTCCGCTGAGGTGGAGGAGGAGCAAGCACTATGCCCAACAACCATAAAACAAAACAAAACAAAACCTTGAACTTGGACTTGACTAGATGATCCCTGGACAAATATCTGTCAGCAGAAAAAGATGGATCCAATAGTTGGCTCAGTACCCCCACCAAGCCCCAGTTACCAATGGATTGATAGATTCAAATGGGGATTCCTAGAAATGATGGCATGAGGGAAAGAGTATGATTTTCCTAATCTCATCAATTTCAGAGAATTGTGCTCATGGAAAGAATACCATAGATGATGAAGCATATAAAAATTTATTATATTACTTTACTAGTACATGTTTACAGCCCTCGTGGGGATTTGCCACATGTACATAACATCTTAATTCCCTTTCATTCCCTTCTCTCC